GATAAATTTTAGAATCAGCTTATCAATATTCACACACATAAAAATAACTGCTGACATTTTGATTAAGGTTAAAATGAATTTATACATCAGTTTCCAGAGAATTAATATTTTAAGATAGAGTCTTCTAAAAAAGTTTGATTTTTCAGTTTGTGCAGGTACGCTGCTAAGTGTTACATAGTTCAGAAAATATGTAGACTTATTAAGAAACTCATTGTTTAAAGTGGAAGCTAGAACATTTTTGTAAATACACAAAGTAGATTTCAGCAAACAAGAAGATCAAAGAGGAAGCTCAGAAAAAAGATATAAAACAGTCAAAAAATTTAGAAGTGGAATTGACTGAAGTAGATATTAATTGCTAGATCCTTGGAAGAAGACGTCATCTGTGGAGATAGTGTTGGAAATAGACCATGCCTCCACTGAAAGAGAATTCTGTATTCAACAAAGCTCTGGGAACCTAGATAGGAGTTTGTCAGTCTCCTTCCTTGCCCTCAGTAGATCTCAGCTAGCCTTAAGTATTTTATTTTCCTGTGTCTCCTCTTACTGTTTTTCCTCCCTATCAGTTTGCTTATTCACTTCCTTCACTGTCTTCCTTTGACCCCATACTTTTCCCTCGTGGTCTCTGTTTATTCTTTTTCCACTTTTGTATAATTAATTAAATTTTCCTTTTTACCAAAGTAGTATAGTATAGAATTTAAAATCACATAATATTAAAGAGCTTATATTGAAAAACAGCAGCCCACTTTTTCCATCTATACATTCCCATCCCTACTGCCCCAGTCCCTTCCATCTAAGTCAACAGATTTTCAACTCTTAGCTTGAATAATTCTTAAACTTACCTTTATATTTTGGATAGTATGCTTATTTTGTCATTTTGTGATCTACCAAAGTATCAAAGTATTTCTAGATCTCTTATTCTGGTAGGACTGGGCTCCCACAACCACCACACGGTTCTTGATTATGTAACTATAGTTTATATACTGATTATATAAATATTGTTATAACTTTCCTTTGTTACCTGCTTAATGTGTAGCCCCATTTTTGATATGTATTACTTCAAATTT